TGGTGTGCAGCTTTTTGCGGATTGTACGCTTCGAGCAACGTCAAGGGGTTCAAGAAGGAGCGCAACCGAACATTTGTACAGTGCCGTTTTTGATACATGCTCCGCGTGCGGATCATGTATTAAAAATGCAGGGATTTAGTATTACAAGCAACGATAGGCTCATGCATAAACTGAGTCATCAGTTAGTCATGGATTAAACAACCATATGTTTTTTTTTTAAGATCCCATGTCTTAGAAACTGCCCTGTACGTTTGCAGCAGGTGCGTGGCAGCGCCTCGTGTACGGACGTCCCCCGAGGGACTCCATGAAGTCCCGCCCCCGACCCGCAGACCCCATCCTGGCCTCCGAGCAGCTCGAGGAAGAGGCCAGGGAGGCGGAGCAAGATGAGGAGGCGTAGCAGAGTCGGGTATGGCCAGGACCCCGGGTAAGGGGACCCGCTTAGTGGTAGGGCCCCGGAGCCTTCGAATTGGCCAGAATCACTAATCCAGGCTTGCCATGGCTGGTGTTTTTTCGGGTGCCCCCGGTACAGATCACTAAACCAGGTTCCACTAAACCCAGTTCTGCCAACGCCCGAAACAAAGATCGAGGATGTAACCCCAAAGTATAGGGTCAGGTCGGATCGATTGCCTCTTGCCCGCCTTGAGGCCTGTGATGGTCCTTCTCTTCCTCCTCCTCCTCCACCTCCTCCTCCCTCTCCTACCTCTCCTACCTCACCGCGTGAGAAATGAAACTGCTGGACAAAAACTCCTCATCTCCTCCTCCTCCTTCTCCTCTACTGTGAGTGGGTTCCGCCCCCCCCCCTCGGCGACCCGCTGACCGAGAGTTCATGGCTGTCGGAGGGGTCGGAGGAGTCGGTCGGTCGGAGGATCGCGCCGCATCACCGATGCATCGACGATGCAGCTCGTTGTGGAGATTGTGTTTCCCCACGCCGACGTCGCCGGTGCATCGCCGATACATCGGCGATGCATTGGCGATGCGGCGCGATCCTTCGACCCCATCTACTCGGACCCCAGCTAGGAGGCCTCTGAAAGGGTCAGGGGCAACGATATGCAGGGGGGGATAGGCTCAGGGTGGGATGCATCGCACCCGAATCGCCTACTCGTCGCCGATGGGGGCCTGATAGCCAACCCCGCCCAGGATCGCAGAGCTTCGCCATCGGGGGCGTATTGGGCGTGTTGCCGATCTATCGGCGACGCGTCGCCCACTCCAGGTCGAGGTGTCCCCCCAGGGCGGGCGCCCCCCCCCCTCACCGGGAGGGTGGCCGCCGAAGGTGGAGAAGGAGAAGGCGAACGCGAAGAAAGACCTGAAGTGGAAAGAGCAGGCCGTGGCGGTGCTTGCAAAGACCAGGCACATCTTAGAGGGCAGAGCCGGCCCCTTCCAATCAGGCCGAGATCTTGGGCCTGTGCCAAGGCCCTCTCTCACGCTCTGGCCACAAGCGTCTGTGGACACGGTGGGTGCCGTGCGGTCTATAGACGCTTTCGGGGTTGATGTGTCTATGGGCAACGCGGCCGCTGCGTTCGGCACAGTACAAGGTCGGAGAAAGAGTAGATCCGTCTGCGGCATGTTCTGGTTCTGGATCAGGTCTCACATGGTACTCCAAGGCATCGGGCCGAGCAACACTCAGCGGGATGGCTGCCCAGCGGGCCCTCCCGTAAACCAGCCGAGCAACACCCAGTGGGATGGTCGCTCAGCGGGCCCTCCTGTAAACCAAGCCCAGCTCCGAGGCGCGGATTCACGCGCTCAAATTTCAAAGAAGATTATCCCAGTGCGACCCTACCTAGAAGTTGGACCCCCTGGGAAAGCAGCATTAGTTGTTATGTTATGCCATGCTATGCTGCGCTGTGCTATGCTATGATATGCTATGATATGCTAAGCTGCGTTATGCTATGCTGTGCTGTGTTGCGCTATGCTATGCTATGCTATGCTATGAAATGTTGCGCTATGCTATGCTGGGCTATGCTATGCTGTGCTGTGTTGCGCTATGCTATGCTATGCTGTGCTCTGCTATGCTAAAGCTCAGCGAAGCTAAGATGGAAGTAAGCTAACCTAAGATCAACTTGAGCAAATATGAAGCTAAGCTAAGCTAAGATGAAATACGCTAAACTAAGATGAGATGAGCAACGCTAAGCTAAGGGGACGTAACTTCGGGAACCGCGGGGTGGATACCGGGGGAACCGCCCCGGTCGGTTCCCACTGCCCGGCCCCTTTAAGATAGAGAGTAAGAACCCTTCTAGGCAGAGCCTAGGTAGGGAATAATCATTGCATGAACATCAACGTCAGGAAATTCCCGGCGGAGTTATAGGATCGGCGCTGGGATCCCCCTGGCTCCTCGCGCCAGGGCGATCCGAGGAATCCGCGCGGAGCTCCGACGGTGTTTGGTTGTGCAGTTGCGCGTGTTCTTTATCAGATTGTTCCAGCACCCCACCGCGGCCGAATGCCAATTGGTTCAACGCTTTTCCTGGGGGGGCACGCCAGTGCTTGCCCGCTCGCAGTCATGAACCTGTGCAGCGGGCACGTGCGAGCGGATGCGCCTTCAGCGCCTCACGCAGGCCTCAGTGTTGGGTTGGTGTCAGAGCGTTCTCAGCTGTATGATCGTTTCTGCACCGCCCTGGGAAAGTACAGTCGGGTCGCTGAAGAAGGAACCCTTTTCGCTGGGGAGGGGCTGAGTGTTCCTTAGTGTTTTACAGTTTGTCGCATGTTCTGCTTAGGTGATCTATGCGAAATCGAAGTTTCACTAATGGGAAAAGGGGCCCCGTTCCTCATTTAGGGCTCCTCAGGTCAACGCCCCGACGGTAATACAACTGCCATTGTCTTTTTGTTTGTTTTCGTAGCCTTCGGCTTGTCGCAGTTTCTGACCTCTTGGGGGGGCGGTTTCGGGCCTCAGGGCAGTCAGAAACGGACTGGGGATGAGTTGGCACCCCGAGTGGAGATCCATCGACGATTCTCTGATACGACCTGCAACACAATATTTATATGTATACGTATGCACATACAAACCTATATATACGTGTGTGTGTATGTATGCATGCATGCATGCATGCACGTATGTATGTATGTATGTATGTATGTATGTATGTATGTATGTATGTATGGATGCATGTATATATATATATATATATATATATATATGTGTATGTATGCATGCATGCATGCATGCATGCATGCATGCATGCATGCATGTGCATGTATGTATGTATGTATGTATGTATGTATGTATGTATGTATGGATATGGATGGATGGATGGATGGATGGATGGATGTATGTATTATGTATGTATGTATGTATGTGTGTATGTATGTATGTATGTATGTGTGTATGTATGTATGTATGTATGTATGTATGTATGTATGTATGTATGTATGTATGTATGTATGTATGTATGTATGTACGTATGTACGTACGTACGTACGTACGTACGTACGTATGTATGCATGTATGTATGTATGTATGTATGTATGTATGTATGTATGTATTTATGTACGCATATATGTATGTATGCATGTATGTATGTATGCATGTATGTATGTATGTATGTATGTATGTATGTATATGTATATATATATATATATATGATCCCAGGGGGTGTAGAACTATCTCCTCGGCTGCCCGTGCACGTCGAGTCCGGCCGATGCAGCAATGACCGCGGCCAGAGACGTGACGCCTGGTTTCGAGACGAGTACTCTGATACGTGTGTTCGTATTCACGTGAGCTCGAAGTTGGGAGTTCCAGGTTGCGCTCGGTATCCTGCGGGCACGGCTTGGGGATTTCATCGGGATCAGCTGGCAGGGTGAGGTTCCAACGTGTAACAGAGGTATAGCCTGGCGAGGGACCCAACCATTTGCGGATGATGCGAGTAACGCAGGATGTGGCCCCTTTCTCATAGGCAGCGCGCCGCGAGGGGGAGGGGCCTTGGGGCAGTGCGGATGGGGGCCACGTAGCGTGTGAGGGGTCTGCCGAGAATGGGCGGTGGCGCCATGCGCACCCTGCCACTTGGGCATTCGGCGGAACTCCTTCTGAGGCCACGAAGCGTGTGATGGGTGTACCAAGCTTGTGCACAGGGCCTTCGGCGGAGCTCCCTGTGGGGCCACGGAACGTGAGAGGGGTGTGACGATATGAGTCGATGGTGCCATACGAAGCTTGCCATCGGGGCTTTCGGTGGAGCTCCCCGAGGAGCACGGAGCGTGCTTGTTTGAGTGTGTGTGTGTGTGTTGTGCCGAAACGGGCGGACGAGGTGTGTGTGTGTGTGTGAGTGTGTGTGGTTTTGCCCGCTTAGTCTCGACCAGAAGAGGTGCGCTCTCGACCCGCGAATCAAAAGTGCCGAAACGGGCGCGGCTCCGCCATGCGGTCACGCCCCGGGGCCCCGAGGTGCAGCGCTCGCTTGCGCCTCTTTTTGTCCCGACCCTCCCGCGTGGGGTTCTCGTTTTGGATAGAGCACTGCGGTCTCTCTCCTCCTTCCTCCCCCTCTTTCCGCCTCCCTTCTCCTCTCCTCTCCTGTGCGCCTGGTGGCTCGCCCGTGGGGCCTGCGAGGTGCGAAGCTGGCGTGCTTTGGGAGCTGCGATCTGCGAAACGGCCGCCGCTTTCGAAGGCTGCTGGGGGGGGGGGCAGCATAGAAGCACCCGCCGCGGACTCAGACTAGACCTCGCCATCCCTGGGGGGGGGGTGCGATCTGCGAAACGGTCGCCACTTTCGAGGTTTGTTGGGGGGGCCAGCATAGCGGGTGCCCGTCGCGGACTCAGCTTAGAGTTCGCCATCCCTGGGGGGCTGCGATCTGCGAAACGGTCGCCGCTGCAGACTCAGACTCGACCTCGCGATCCCTGGGGGGCTGCGATCTGTGAAATTGTCGCCACTTTCGAAGGCTGCTGGGGGGACCAGCATAGGGGGTACCCGCCGCGGACTCAAATTAGACCTCGCCATCCCTGGGGGGCTGCGGTCTGCGAAAAGGTCGCCAGGCTCGAGGATTGTTGGGGGGATTGGTATAGTGGGTACCCGCCGCAGACTCAGATTAGACCTCGCCATCCCTGGGGGGCTGTGGTCTGCGAAACGGTCGCCAGTCTCGAGGGCTGTTGGGGGGGCCAGAGCAGAGTCGTGGGTATCCGCCGCGGACTCAGATTCGACCTCGTCATCCTTGGGGGGTTGCGATCTGCGAAATTGCCGCCACTTTCGATGGCTGCGGGGGGGGCTAACATAGTGAGCACCCGCCGCGGATTCAGAAGATCTCGCCATTCCCGGGGGGGGGCCCGATCTGCGAATCTGTCGCAATTTCTGGGGCTTGCTGAGAGGACCAGCACAGTGGGTGTCCGTCGCGGACTCAGATTATAGCTCGCCATCCCTGGGGGCCTGCGATATGCGAAATTGTTGCCACTTTCGAGGGCTGCTGGGGGGGTCCAGCGGAGTGAGGCACCACCCAGATTCAGATTAGACCTCGCCATCCCTGGGGTGCTGCGATCTGCGAAACCGTCGCCACTCAAAACTGTCGCCACATTTGATACCTTCTGGCTGGGTCAGCGGAGTGAGGCACCACCCAGACTCAGATTAGACCTCGCCATCCCTGGGGGGCTGCGGGGCTGCGATCTGCTAAACTGTCGCCACTTTCGAGGGCTGCCGGGTGGCCAGCGGGGTGAGGCACCACCCAGCCTCAGATTAGACTTCGCCATACCTGGGGGGCTGCGATCTGCAAAACTGCTGCCATTATCCCAGGGCTGCAGGGGGATCCAGCGGGGCGCCGTCGCGGACCGCCCGCAAACCTGGGAAGCTGGCGGGCGAGTTTGGCCTCGCTCATGTCTTGCACCGGTTATCAGCAGCTTTAATCATTTTGTCAGGCGCCGCGGCGACATGGCGCAGGCAACGCTGCATCGCGAGCGCACTACCGACAAAGGCAACACTCTTCGGTCGCCTCCCGTCGCCTTCGTCGTCGCCCTCTGTCCCCTGTCACCTTCATTCTGGTGCTGCTGCGCTGACGGGTCGGCCCCCCACGCGTCCTTCTCATGCCCTTCGTTCCCGTTCCCGTGTCCTCCTCGAGCCTGGGCGTTCGCTCCTCGTCCTCCTGTCGTTGTCCTGCGAATCGTGCTACGTGACCGCATCCCATGTAGCTTGCACAACATATAACGGCGCCTGCATGGTCATTGTCTTGGCAAGTTTGGGCCAATTCCTCTCGCCACGTGATTCATGTGGGCTGGATACGTCACAGGGTAGTTTCTTTTGTTGCAGGGTGCTCTCGCGGCGACCTGCGCGCAAGGGCGTTCGAATGCGTTTGACGTGCGCACGCGAGAGGCCCGTTCGGCAACATTGCATGATGATGTGCTCTTAGAATTTCGCAAGAGTGGGGGCGCAGGTTTTTTCGAACTCCCTTGTTGCCAAGCTGGGTGTTTTGTTTGTGACTCACGGTTCTGGAATATGTACGAAACGTCTTGGACGTTTGGAAGATTTCGGCACGCGCGCGCGACGACGCGCGCGTTGCGCACATCGTCTCACTTGCGCACGGGATGTTTGAATGCTGCTGATTATTGATAGACGGGTGTACGTGCATAGTGTTATGCAACTGTTCGAAGGAGGGGGGTGAACTCAGTCTGCCTGGAATGATACGAGTTCATATTTAGGGCGACGATATGGCATAACCAAATCTCACGTGTAATGCGAAAAGGTGGACCGTCGAGCCCAGGGAGGGGAGGGGGGAGGTAGATCCGAATGTTTCTTGCTTAAAAATAGAATAAGGAGAACTCACATGCGGAACCCGCAGCCATCAACTCCACTGCTCGCGTAACCCACCCGCAGATTGGTTTGCAAAACGCATGTGGCGGCGATGGCGATGAGTGCTTGGCCTTTGGCAGGGGCATCCCTGCGATCGCGCTCCCCCGCGCGTGCTCGCGCGCGCAGCTGCCAGCTAGTTTGGCGCGATCGACGCGGCCGCGGTGGCGCTGACTTCTGGGCACTTCTCCGCGGGCACTTCGGTGCGAGTCAGCCACTTGGGCGGGCGCAGTCTCATGGCAATGCTGACAACGGTACACGTGATGATAGTAGCGACGCTGGTGGCGATGCTGGCAACGGCTACGGCAACGCCAGCGACGGTCCCGATGCTAATCGCGGCGGCGGCGATGACGGCGTCCTCGCGTCGGCGGTGAAGGTTTTGGAAAGAGTTCGACACGCGCGCGGCCGATGCGCGCGAGCGGCCCGCGTGGCATTATTTGACGCGGACCGTGCGCACGTGCGCAAGGGCGTTCGAATAATGCTGGCATGCGGCGCGAAAGGCCCGCTTGGCAGAATTGAGTGAACATGGCGGGGAACCTGTCGTTTTCTTTGGGAACCCGCAAGACCGCGAGCGTATGTTTTGTTGGGGGGGCTGTTTTTGCAAAGCCACGTCCCGGGGCACTCGATTTTGAAATCGTTACGGAACCTGCGGTTTTTTAAGGTTGCGGCATGCGCGCGCGACGACGCGCGCTTGCCTTTTTGAGCTGTTCCTGTAAGGGACTATTTCGACAGCGCGCGCGCAAGGGCGTTCGAACGATTTCGGCATGCGCGCGCGAGGGGGGGGATGCATTTTACGAACCTTCCGCAAGAATGCGCAAGAGCGAGAACGCTCATTGTTGCTTTCGAAAACAATAATTTGTTGCGAAACCGTGTTATTTGTTTTAGGCGCACTCGATCTTGCAATATTTACGGCGCCTCGGGTTGCTGAATTTTTCTAGCATGCGCGAGCGACGACACGCGCGTGCGCATTTCGCAGCATTTTTGCACGGGTTGTTTGAAAATGTTCGGTGTTTGATAATGCGCACGCGACGACGCGTGCGCGTCCGTTTCGTTCCACTTTTGCAAGGGATTCTTGCGACAGCACGCGCGCACGGGCTTTCGAACGATTTCGGCCTGCGCGCGCGAGAGGCCCGCTTGGTAGCACTGTGTGTCAATAACCGAAATACATACTGGTTTTTCAAAATTGTCGAGAGCGTGGGCGCAGGTTGTTTTCAAACATTTTTGTTTTGAAACCATTTTTGTTTGTCGGGACGTTCGATTTGGAATTATTTCACAAACCCAAGGTTTTAAACGATTTCGGCCTGCGCGCCAGGCGACGCACGTGTGTGCACTTCGTTTCATTCGTTGCAGAGGAGTTTTGAAAACTGCCGACGTTAGATAAAACGTGCGTGCGCACATATATGTATATATATATGTATGTATGTATGTGTATATATATACACACATTGGCAGGGGATGATGGGGGGTTGACAAGTCTGGCCTGCTTGGGATGGTACGATCGTATGTTTAGGATGGGCGATTGGGGCGAAATCGTATGTAAATTGCACATCCCCAGGGGGTCCGATAAATTCGGTTTCGGGGTGGTGGTGGTGTATTTTTATGTTTGGTTTCCATTTTTCTTTCAACACCAAAAAAAAGAGGAGAACCAAGTTTACAACGTAGGCCGCAAGGGGGCGGCGACGGGGCAGCGACGAGGCGGCGCCGGCGACCACAAAACCGCCAGACCGCCACCCACGCCTAGAAGACAAGCGGCGACGAGGCAGCGACGGGGCGGCGACGGCGACGGGGCGGTGCGGGCGACGGGGCGGCGATGGCGACCATGGAACCGCCAAACCGCCACCCATGCCCACACGACGGGCGGCGACGAGGCGGCGACGGGGCGGCGTCGGCGGCCACATAAACGGCAGACCGACCTTCAGGCCAAAACGACGGGCGGCGACGAGGCGGCGACGGGGCGGCGACGGCAGATACATCGCCGTCAGACCGATCTGCAGGGATTGTTTTAAACAGCCAGTACGAAGCCCTAAGTGCAAACTTTGATTGGGGAGTATTTGCAACAGAGAACATTCAGTAACCGAAGTTGTGGCCGAAATAAAAAATCGCTTGCGTTTCGAACCAACAGGTTCGGTCACACTGGCGCGTTCGGGAGAACTGGGCGCTGGTCTCCAGATTTTGGGGCGCAGCTTCGGTCACTACACCCCCGTGGTTGAGCGAGGATGCGTTCGTCTGGTGCCGTGCCCGTCCCTGGTGGAGACGAGACGACGCGGCGTGAGCCTGCGGAGGCGGGAGCAAATGTGTGTCTCGATGTTTGTTCAAGTCGTCAGATGTCTGGTCCGTGTTCGTCCTGTTGCCCAGGTCTGGGTGGCCCGGAAGCGGGACCTTCTCAGCGAGGCGTGAGCGGGCGGTCGTGGGGCCACGGAGCCGCGGCCAGCCGCCCCGGGGCAATCTCGGGGCCGCGGGCGCTGCATCGTCACCAGCCGGATGCCCACACCCCCGTCTGTGAGGAAAATGCTGGAGGTGTTGCGCGGGGCAGAGACTCCTACACCAACTACAGTGTATGCTATGGTTTGGCCGAGGGCCCGCATACCTTCCCAGAACTCTGACGTCGAGATTTTTTCTCACAACGTGAGCCCCCAGAGGTCTGGACCCCAGTACTGGTTTCCCACGCCGAGTCGTTGGTTGACGGTCCTGTGGCCCAGTGAGGACCCCTAGGGGCAGATTGCTTTGCGACTGAACGAGATGAGGGTTCGTGTACTTACGAGAAGAATTTGGAAGGCTTCGAGCGGCACGCAATAGTTGTATCATTTAGTCCACACGTTCGCGCGCGCGGCGATGCTCTAACGTAAGTGCGACGTACATTCGACGTGAATCCGACGTAGACCCGGGGTGCATCCGATGGAAATTGGGTCTCAAGTTGCCGCGCGAGACTTCCAGGATCTTCCGCATACCCCCAGGGGTGGGACGCATCAGCCCCCATACCCATTGATCGCCGATTGGCCGAGGTCCAAGGTTTTCTGGGTCTGGGTCCGAGGTTCGAATCCTTGTGTCCGTCTCCAGCCTCGGGACGCTCTCCAGCAGCTGCGCCGCACCGAGAGCTTCCATGGGGGTGCCCGGAGCGCCCCGAACGATTGCTCGAGGGCGAGCCATGACCCGAAGATTTTTGGGCCGCGCTTGGGGAAGAGAAGCTCGGGGGGGCGCCAATTCACCAGCCTGGAACCTATCCCTATCCCTCTGTTGGGCATCGCCTCATCACGATGGCGATCTTGGGGATGCACCCTCAGTCTCTGAGGGTGCATCCCTGAGATTGTCATCGCCCTTGGGCGTGCCAGTCTTAGGGATAGGGCGAAGTTCGAGGCTGGTTGCCAATCGCCCGCGGATCGCTGACTAGGCCGAGATACACTTCGCTCGGGAGGGTGGGGCTCACTTCGCTCGGGAGCTCCCGAACGAACGGAACCCCACCCTCCCCCTCAGAAATCTTGTGGCCCCCTAGGGGGGGGGGCAAGTCGCCCGCTGATCGCCGATTGGGCCGAGGTTCGAGGTCCCCTATGGCCTCGACGTGCGCAGTCAGGTGTGCATGCGTGTGCGGTCAGCGATGTGTCGGCTCGGCGAGCTCTCCGACCCGGCAGCCGCACGCGGTCGCATCTGCTGGGCAGTCAGGGAGGCTTCGGGTGTGGATAGACCTCCTACCCTGACACGTCGATTAAGGAATTTGCCGTTTTCGGTTCGCGAGAGGGCGTCGTGGCCGTCATTTTTGCGGGTCCAGGTCCGTCGGTTTCGGTCCTAGGCCGTTTTCACTAACGGGAGGTTTACTAAAGGGAGGTTTGTCTACCGCCGGAGGCTCGTCCTGCAGGCACAGGAGGAGCAAGCGCAGAGCGTAGAGACTCACGCTTCGCGGTAGGCATGCAGGCGTGCGGGTGCGAGGCCATCGTGAACCGAGAGTGGTGCCCATCCCTTCCCCTCAACCTCCCTGCTACCCCAACGCTGCCCCTGGAGAGGTTGCATGGCATTGGGAAGCATCGATCGGTCATTTCGCATTGTGTCTGCTAGGCATTGCGTGCGCGCCGGTTTCGCATAAAGTTCGCGTTAGCACGTGCGTGCTTCACGTGCGCATGAAGGATATTGCGCATGGTTTTGCCTTTGAAGTGTAGTTGGTATGTTTCAGCCTTTTATTGTTCTCTTGCATGCCCGCCAATCGCCTTGCATGACATTGCATTACACATCTTTGCATTGCGTGGCTTTGTCAATAGTTTGCGGTGACTTATCCTGTGGATTGTTGATGCATTGTCGCCAAATTCATGTGGTATGGCGTGTCGGCGCGTTGAACATTGCATTTGCGTTGCATTACATTACATTGCAATGCGTCGCGTTGCATCGCACTGCATTTGCAACTGTGGCAACCACTGTCCATCAAATTTCATTGCATGTGTATTTGATCATTGGATTGCGTTTGCAACGTGTTTGCATTCAGTGTTGCATGTTGTTTGGATTGCGCCCTATTGCGCTGCATATACGATGCCTGACACCATATGGCATTGCCATACACATGTGTATAGATGTATATACATATGTAGATATGTACAGATATAGCCAAATCTGCAAATCTACATTTATATATATATATATGAGTTGTGTCACGCTGCTCCCACATCACAGTCCATTGCGTCTACGCACCGTCTGAAATCTCATTTCATGTGGGTTGCTTTCTATGTCAGTTAATTGTATTCCATTGTGCTGCTGGGCTGGTCGGCCTTGCGTTGCATTGCAGCGACTTGCAGGGCATATGGTCCGGTTGAAATGTTGGCCAGTTCAAGAAGCTCACACCCTTGTTCCTGACCAACGGCCTTGGGGTGGGGGTGGGTCGAGCATCGATCGGCATCGGCGTGGGAGAAGTCCACGCTGCGGGCATGCTCGGCAAGGGGTGCCAGCAATGCGCAATTCGTGTAGGACTGTCGTAGTGGGTGTTCACGCGTGCGCGGGACATGGGGCCTTGCAGGAGGCGGCAGAAAAGGTCACCCTCCGCACGTTTCCGTCATCCCACCCTTCTCGCCCGCCGCACTTTCTCTTACAGAGAGCTGATGTGTTATCTATCAATATGGGGTCCTCAGAAGCGGTGGCACTTCTCTTCGGCCCGGCTTTGCATTCCGAGTCACCTTCTGACCGTCCTTGGGAGGATGGGGGTGCAGTCCAACAGCCCCCTCTTGCACTCCTCATTCCTGCGTTGTTGTGTTCTCCGTCTTTTTCTCTCCACTTTCCTCTTCCTCCTCGGTGCAGCATGCTTGGCCGAACGCCAAAAGCGTCCCTGGAGGAGGAGGGGGAGGAGAGGGAGGATTGAGAGAGGACGGCGGGTGCATCTGTGATGTGTGGCACGATGTGTGCTCCATGCCGACGGCGCCGATGCGTCGCCGACGTCGCGGGTGCACCGCCGATGCACCGGCGAAGCGGCATGATCTTTCGAGCCCATCTGCTCGAAGTTGATTTTGGGGGCCTCCCCGTGCAAGCAGGCCCACCTTCGGGATGAGGGAATGGATGGTAGGAATGGGGGGTAGGAGGAGGAGGAGGAGGAGGAGGAGGGAGGAAGGATGGAGGAGGGATGGAGGAGGGAGGAGTTCCCCCCGCCCTCCTGTGCACGAAAGAGATGGGTCCTGAGGGAGATGGGTCCTGGGCCATAGGGCGTTGTCCCAGGACCAGATTTTCATCCCGCGTCGCTTCCGTCGACGACCCTGGGGCCCCGGGGAGGGCCCTGGAAGAGCCCCAGGGCGGCGATCGACACCTCGGGGCCCGCGCTTCCTCGGCGAATCTCCCCTCCCCGACTCTCTTCCCGCCTCTTACGCGCCGGGCTTCGGGGCAGGAAGAGGTACTGATCTTGAGACCTTGCCTTCATTCTCGCCTTGGGAGGCGCTTGGGAGGCCCTCGTCGCCACCGCCAGATTCGCGTCGAAATTGCGGCCGGAACGCACCCCGCGGGAGCACCTGGGGAGCAGCGGCATCTGTATGTCTTGGTCTCCCCAGGGCTTTTCCGCCGGCCGCGGCACTCCGAGGGAGAAGGAGGAGCACAGGGAGGATAGGAGAGGATGCGGAGGAGAAGGGGAGGAGGAGGAGGAGGAGGAGGAGGAGGAGAGGAGGAGGAGGAGGAGGAGGAGGAGGAGGAGGAGGAGGGGGAGGAGAGGACGAGGAGGACGCCCACGACCACGAAGGGAGTGACCCAATTCGCATGCAACAAAAAACAAACAAGTTAGGAGGGGCCTAGGCAGCCGAAGAGATCCTCCTCCTCCTCGGGAAGAACGCCTCCTCAGCGCCTGGCCTCGACCTCGGCCCCTAGCTCCACGACCTCCGCCCGCGTCAGGCCGAGCATGGCGAGGCCTCGCGCACGGTCGGCAGCGGGACCCTCGCGGCGCGAGGGCTGGGCACCCCGAGCTATTCTCGGAGGGCGGTCGCGGCCCTGGGACCAGGCCTCAAAGAAGGGCCTCCACTCCGAGCGAACCTCAAGAGAGGGGGCACCCGTGTACGCCATAGTGAACCCTTTAGGATTCCTATGGGCAGGATATCTTCCAGCACGAAATCGGTCAAGGTAAAACCCCCGTCCCCCAGACGTGACAGGACGACACCTCAACCGAAGATTCCCCCGTTTCGTGCTGGAATGTGCCATTGCACCACAAGCCGTGCAACACAGCATCGTATCGTGATACGTGCAGCCATCCGACTCATATACCACCCCCTGCTCAAGGGAGTGCCCCAGCTGGAGCCATGCTCCTGGGGTCGGGGGGTTCTCGGGAGGCGGCTCACCAGAAACCGCACCAGGGGCCTCGCCAGGGGCTTCCCCCGCACCAGGCGCAACCTGAGGCACACCGCTAGGCGCACTTGGCTCACCACCCCCAGGGTCCGAACCAGGAAGGGGGAAGCCAGGGACCGCATCCAGGAGGACGTAGCCGAGCCATTCCAACCCTTGATGATCGTTCAGGGCCAAATCCCTACACTCAGCCTGCTGCCTGGCACTGTACAGCCCGACACGTCGGACAAGCTCTGCATATCCAGTCACAAATTGGCGGTCCTCAATCGAAATTCGGAATGGCTCAGCTCCTTCCTTGGCGAGTCTGTCCGCCTCCGAGTTCCCGAAACGCTGCATTTCAGTGATACGGCCTTCCCTAACATCAACCATCGACGAGTGAGACGGGATCTGATGCACTGCCAAGCCCTCCAAACGGTCCCCAATCTCAGCCCACCAGTGGGCTCGGGCCGACGACGCACCAGCTGCCCCCGCGAGGTTTCGAAGGCAACCGACCGTGGCCGCACAGTCCACATGAAGCGAGACACCTGAGGAGAGGACCGAACGGCGGGAGAGCATCAGCACAGCGAAATCCTCGCCGTCGCGTGCCTGTTGCCCAGGCGCTTCCCCGATCGGCACGACACCAAAAAGGGCAGCGAGGGTCCTACCCTGCCTGTCCAGCACCACAACAGCCCAACCCGCGGTCCCGAGTCCTGTGAGCTTCCCTTCAAAGCCCGACCCGTCCGTGAACACATGAGCCCCCTCAGGAATAAACAAGGGGCCGTCCTGAGGCCACTGAAAGTGCCTGGTGCACGGGTCCTGCGGGTCGCGGGGGGGTCGCTCCACCCAGGCCGCAGGGTTGGGGAAAAGACATCTGCTAAAAAGTTCCCCAGCAGGAGTGGGGAGATGGCCAACCGCACGAGCCGCCTTAGCAACCACGGGATCCAGGTTCTCGCGCCGCCAGGGAGCGAAGGCAACGCACTGAAACCTGCGATGGTACAACGTGCCTCTACCATCTCTGCACAGCTGGCATTGGTCAGGGGCCTCTGGACTATGCTCGCACACTCTGTGCTGGCACCAGTACACATTCGCACACAGAGCTGAAAGAGCTGCCTTGTGCGACTTCGTCCACGACTCCGAACATTTCCGCCCTAGAAGCTGATGAATGGGCTGCCAGAACACTGGGCCGCTCCACATCCCGAAATCAAATTGTTTCAACTGCTCCTCCCGCTCAATGGCCCGAACGACCGAGCCTCGCAGGAGAAGGGTGAAAAACTTGGGCGAAAACCGATCAATTGACCACACACGGTTGAGGTCGTCAACCAGGGCTAATCGAGACACATCGAAACTCCAGCGGATCCGAGCAAGCTGCAGGAAAAGCGCAGCAACAGGCTGGCGGACTTGGCCCCAGGGGGCCCTACTCCCCTGGACCGCCAGGGCGTCCTGGACACAAGCTTCCAACACTGGTTTAGAAATCGAGCGGGCCCACCAAACGCTGACGAATTCCTTTACAGCCGACGTCACCGTCACCAAAAGCGGGTCCCTGAGCCAGAGGCGAGCGGCCGAAAGAAACCTGAAGCCCAGGGAAGTGCCAGGAAGAAGAGGGCCCCAGGATCTCGCAGCTTGGACCCTAAGCTTATGGAGGGTGGTCGGCGGGATCCCCAAGTTGTGGGATCCCCAAGAAGCTTTAGCCAGCGCGCCCACACGATAAACTCTACTATGCTTTTCACTCTGCCCCAGCTGTCGTAGGGCAACTGCAGTGCTGCGGGCGGCCTCAATTCTCGACGCCTGCGTGCCGACTCGCCTCGCCCTGCCGTCCAGCGAGTCGCCGCCGAGGTCGCGGTGGGCGATGACCAGCTTGTCGTCCGATAGCCTCCACCTGGGATCCTTTACCAACGCAGGCAGCTGGGAGTGATCGGACATCATGAATCTAGTCTTGTCCCAATTAATTGGCAACTTCCTCGAGTCCAGCTCCGAGGTGACAATCTCGAAACTCTTGACCGTGTTCTCAACAACCGTCCTTGGGCCTCCGATGGTATGCGTCGTCAAATCGTCCACCACATTCAACGCACGACACGGAGGCGTCTCCTCAGCCAGGCGCTTGAGGAGGCACAAGGTCATCAGTTTCGCCACTCCCGTTGCCGCACTGCAGCCAGCCACGATAGTTCCATTCGGATGACTGGCTCTGCTCGTGCCTCCTGTCCAGCGCGCACGGCGTGGCGCTCGATACAGGCAGCAGAGCGCCTTCAGCAAGGCGCCGTCGAAGTTGTAGTGCTCTGCTGCTTCTCTTAGCTGCTGATGACTGACATTCTCGTAGAACTTGCGGATGTCATAGAACACAGTTATGGCCGACAGCCTCTTCCTTCTGGCGTAGCAGGCAAGCATATTGTGTACGTACGCCGCTTTGTCACAACTGGTCGTGGCATCCTTTCCCCAGAAAAACTTCGCATCAACCGACGCCTCCCAACCTTTGACATACTGCCTCCTGCATCTGCTCCAAATGCGCGCCCAGAAGCAAAGGAGCCCGATCGGGCGTGTACCTCCTCCTGGTTTAGGCAGAAATACATTGATCGTGACCCGCATGCGTTCACAGCGCGGATTGCGCTCCCAACTTGAAATAATCACTTGGAGCCTGTGAAAGTTGTCCCAGCCTAGACCAGTGGAATAGCCAAAGGAGCGGCAGACCTGGACGATCTGGTCCTCCGAGATCTGGTCGAGCTTCCACGGGTAACTCCAGTCAGACGGCGCTGCCTCCTGGGCCCTGTCGTCAGAGATCCACAGCTCTTCCCATTCCTCCAGCACCGCCGTGATCGCAGCAGCTCCCACCAGACCATGGGGCTTGCCTTTGGCCAGCGTGGGCGCCTCCTCCAACAGCTTGGGCCTGGAAATCGCGTGCGCTAGCCTGCCAGAGCCATCAGCTGCGAGGTCGCCGAACTCTCTCCAGGCCTTACTCCTGGCCTGTGAGTCCTTGCGTCTGCGCACATCCACCTCCTCCGCTAGAACAGTTCGAAACCAGGCAGACAACTGACCTCCTCTCTTGGCCAAGGCGACCCACTTCTGGACATCCTTCGCCTGCAGGGAGGGGGGATCCGAGATGGCCTCAGGGAGCTTCAGGGCCAGCAGCTGTCTCTCGCACCTCGCGGAGTGCTCTGGCCTGCCTGCTTTCGAACCAGACGGAGCTG